AAACCACCCCAAACCACCACTACCACCCCACAAACAACATCAACACCACCACACACCCCCAATCAGATTCACCCGCCGCTCTCAGATCTTCTTCCACAGGGTTATGCCGCCGCCGCTCTTGTCGCTGTGTTGTCGACGATTTGAGGGAGAGGAGAGGCGCTGGTGGTGCCAGATTCCGACATCGGCAGTGGGAGAAGAGAGAGAGAGAGAGAGACTAGAGATGAGAGAGGATGTGTAAATGATTTTTTAATTTTTAGGGTTTGGATAATTATAATGATTGAAATGAATTAATATTTAATATTTAAAATGAGATACCTAATTTTTGTATAAATAAACTTCAAACCTAACTTTTGAATTGTAAATTTTAAATACCTCGTGGGTGTAATTTCCTCTTTTTGTTTTCCTCAAAATAAGAAACACATTTTCTTTTTTAAGATATATTTTCCATATCAATCAAACACACTCTAAAATTTTCTTATTTTTTATACTCTTTATACTCCTACTATACTCTGTTTAGAAAGTTAAGTAATATTATAGCAATATTAGAATAAAAAAAGCTTGACATAAGAGGTTTAAATATAATATTAGCTTCATTTTAGTTCACCTTTTTTTAAATGTTATATCAATTTTAGTTTGTCTATTAAATGAGAAATCAATAAAGAAAAAATTATTATTAAAAATAAATAGATTTATACAAAAAATGGAAAATAAATTAATATTTTTAAAATTAAATAGTTCATTTTTTGAAATTAAAATTAAGAAGAAAATGAAATAAGAAAGGAGATATAATCATATAAGGGTAAAATTATCCCAAGGAAGGGAGATATTTTTTGAATATAACTCTATATAATTATCATAAAGATCATGACTTTTCTGAAACTTGTTCAAAACGCGAGGAAGCACAATATAACTCTATGGTCCTGTTTGATTTGTTAAATTTTTCATGGAAAATATTTTCTAACTTCCCACTTTTGTGCTGTTTGATGGCACAAAATTTTGAAGGAAAATTTTTTCCCCTGAACTCACCAACGCGTCATTTTTCCATGTAATTAGGGAATTC